GAGAGAAAGAGAAAGAGAAAGAGAGAGAGAGAGAGAGAGAGAGAGAGAGAGCAGAGAGAGAGAGAGAGAGAGAGAAGCGCAGCTGCTTGAACTTTGAGGGATTCCAAAGTGCCAGACTGGGTACTTATTTGGGATGGAGACAACTTGAGAACAGTAAAAAAAAATTGACAACCAACATATCTCAAAACACTTAAATTATTTAATTTTTGACAGCAGTTCTTATAAGTCAATAGAAATAATAATGAAATTGCATATTTTCTCATATTTTCATAAAGACATTGTATCATAACCTTACCTAACCCATGTGCACCCCCAATAATTAAAAATGATCATGCAAAATGTTAAAAGATTCCGTTTTAAGCATTACCTGTTCAGGAAGATTTTTTGTTCTTGAGTGGCAAACTGTAACTGTGGCATTAGCCCATTTCAAAAGTTCTGAAACAGGAGTTCCAACAATTTTACTTCTCCCTAAGACCACTGCGTTACTTCCGGCTATCGAGATGTCACTCCTGGTAATTATTACATAATGTAATAATTTTAATGACAGGATTAATTTCATATTTAATACCTTTTGATCAATTCCATAACACCGTTGGGTGTACAGGGTATAAAACCGCTCATATCGCCAACAGCAACCCTTCCTTCATTAATAGTGTTTAAACTGAAAAGTTAAAAAAATTACATATTACTGATGTAGTGTAACTAGATGTATAATTAGAACAAACCCATCAACATCCTTGTCAGGTGAGACCGCATCCGTAACAAGATGGCTATCAATTTTGTTGACTGAATCGAGGGGCATTTGGACTATGATGCCGTGTATCATTGGGTCATTGTTTAATGCCTTCAGCTTGTTTAAAAGCTATAAAAAGATGTTTATTATTATTACAATACAAATTTAAGTGAATCGTCAACTCCTTTAGCATCATCAACAGCTAGGTTAAGTTAACCCCACCCCAAAAGATCATTTTAAATAATAGAATGATAATAAATTGAAACACTTTACTTCAATTTGTGTGGTAGTGTTGGGCAATTTAACATGCTGCGCTGAAATGCCGATTTCTTCAGCCGATTTAATTTTCATTCTGATGTAGACGTTCGAATCTTCCCTTCCTCCTACTTGCACGATAGCCAAGCCAGGTTTGTAACCTGGAATCCTGTTAGCGATTTCCTTCACTCTTACTTTCAACGATTCCTGAATTTCACTGTAAAAAAAAAATATATAGCAATTATACACATTGAATGTGGTGAAATGCTAATAATGGTAATTCTATATTGGCTTAAAAATATTTGGCTGACTAAAGGGAACAGTTTATGACATTTTTTTCCCCCTGGGATCACTAGTGACCCTAAAAGATCTATTGTAGAACAGATCCTTCTTTACATCTGAATCCCGGAAAGTGCATTATTCTCAGGCCCATCCGAAATGGCTGTACCATTTTTGGACTTTGCAGTTATGTCTCTGATGTCTCATGGCAGGCTCAATTTTTTTGTTTTTTTTTTCAGGTATGGCCAGTATAATGGCATATTGTTTTCCTTAATAGGCCTACTGAGAGGTAGATTTTTGTTTTCTGGTTGAAATATTGAAGAACTTTGACCGTTTTGCACCTGCTGAATCTTCTAGTGTGCCGTAATTTCTTTCTCCATCTAGTTCAGTTTTCCTTTTAGGGTAACACTGGGCTGCATCTGCTGCTAGTTTGTCAGCATTCAATCTCCTCGTGTCTACCACCATGACTGCGTTTTCCCAAGATGCGTAGATCTATGATTTCAGTGTGTCTAAAGCTCATCTGTGCTCCTTTCACTCCCTTTTTGAGTACTTCTTGTGCACAGAGTTCTATCACTAGGATCTCAGCTTGGCGTACTAAAGTGAAATACTTAAAGATCAATTTCTAGGGTGTTTTGCGAAGTTATATTACTTAATTTAAGGTTCATTTTTGACTCATTTCCTTTGAATAATTGGTGTAAAAACGTGAAATATTTAAAGATATAAATTCTTTGAGGTTCCAAATGTAAAAGTGATTTATTGGAGAGGTTTAACACTTAAATTATTGAATGTTATTCCATTTCTATTGTAGTATTTATATAAACTAGATATACATTTTTTCTGACAAATTAACCTTTTTTAACTTCAAAGTAACCCTTTTTTAATTTCAAATTATCCCTTTTTTAAGCAGTAAACCAGTAATTACAATTAAAATTACAAATCATATACATTTCAATATTAAAATAAAGAATTATTCTTGAATATCATAACGGTAAAAAAAAAATTCTTAACAAAACCGTAATAAACAGGATGAATTTATATTCTGTCCCTTCCCGATGAGTTAAAAAGTTTTGTAATATCCAGTACATGGATTTGTGGTTGACTATTTCAATTGGTGAGATCCTCATAATGCACATTTTTGAACGGGTTGTTGATGCTGAATTCAAACATTTGAAAGGTTTTTAATTTGGAGCAACCGCTCTCATCATTTGCAAAAAAATTCTGAACATTGTTTTTTGGAAGAACGAAATCTAAAACTTCTTCATCCAAGAACCAATTTATTTATTTATCATTTTAATTGATACCTACTAAATTGATCGCTCATGTTTAATTTCTTAAAGATCTTTTGAGAGCAGGTGCAAATGTGCCCATAATTTGTACTTTTGTTTTGTTCTGTTATTATTGATGTTGTTGTACATTTTTGTAATAATAAATATTCAATTCTAAATAACATGATTAACATAAAGGATTAAAAAAAGGGATGCAAATTTTTCATTTTAATATTATTGTTTTATACTTTAATTAACTAATCAATGTTCATATAATTCCAATAATTGAAAAATGGCAAAAAGGAGTGAAAAATTCAAAAGATGGGGTTGAGATGGGAAGTTAGTGTCTGAGTGGATCGAAGTCACGATACCTAAAGTGGTAGAGCAGCGGCGTATCTAGCCGAAGATCGTGGGTTCGAATCCCGCTCGTGACACTGACTTTTTTTATCTCAACTTAAAACCTTAATTAATTGTAATGTTCATATAGTTTTTTTAATATAAGATATCTTTTTTTTTTAATCTTGACTTAATTATAGAAAAATCATTTTTGTTTTTACATATAATTATTTATCACTTTTAATTTTCATTGTAATTAAATTTTTTAAATTTATTTACTGTTTTAAAGGAAGGATCAATGTGAAATTAAAAAGGGTTAATTTTAAGTAAAAAGGGGTTCATTTTAAATTACACAGTGTTCATTTGAAGTAAAAAAGGTACATTTTAATTTAAAAAAGGTTAATTTGAAGTTTAAAAAAGGCATTTAAAATTAAAAAGGGTTAATTTGTTGGAAAAAGGTTCATTTGAAATGAAAAAGGGTTCACTTTAAATTTAAAAGACATTTTAAATTTTAAAAAAGGTTCATTTTAAATTAAAAAGGGTTCATTTGAAGTTAAAAAGGTTCATTTTAAATTAAAAACGGTTAAATAAGATTAAAAAGGATTCATTTGAAGTGATAAAAGTTTCATTTTAAATTAAAAATGGTCAATTAAAAATTGAAGTGTTCATATAAAGTTAAAAAAAGGTACATTTGAAAACAAAAATGGTTAATTAAAGATTAAAGGGGGTTCCATTGAAGCAAAAAAACGTTCATTTTAAATTAAAAAGTTAATTAAAAATTAAAAAGAATTTCATTGAACTAAAAAAAAAAGTTCATTTTAAATTAAAAAGTTAATTGAAAATTGAAAAGGGTTCATTTGAAGTTAAAAAAGGTACATTTGAAATCAAAAATGGTTAATTAAAAATTAAAAAGAGTTCCATTGAAGCAAGAAAACGTTCATTTTAAATTAAAAAGTTAATTAAAAAATTAAAAAGAATTTTACTGAAGTTAAAAAAGTTAATTAAAAATAATATAGGGTTCATTTGAAGTTAAAAAAGGTACATTTGAAATTAAAAAAGGGTTAAATTGAAATGGGTTCATTTGAAGGTATAATAGAAAGTGTGTGAGGGAAAATCACTGGGTGGTTTTTTTGTCCTCACAAACTTCAGATTACACTTTTTGTAAAGGGTTCATGAAGTGTTTTCATCAGTTCTAATAGCTTTAGGTTATTATTATTATTTTTTATTTATTTATCCAATACTGCGAAGACTACAATGTATTAATAATAAAATTATAATCATGTTTTTCTCATTCCTCTTTCTTTGACAGGTTTCTTTTTTCAAACTGTTTGAAAGAACTTTGAAAAACCTCTCACAGAGTGGGATAAGGTAAATTATAATTGAGAATTAAAATGATGGAGAGCTTTGTAAATATAACAAATTTGTGTACATATACAAGCTAAGTTCAGATGAAAAAATTATTCAAAGGTTTTGAAACAACCAGCTAAATATAGGTGATATGTAAAACGAGAGATTTTAATGAATTGGTGTTAAGAGGGAAATGGGGATTTTTCAATGAACTTTTTCCATACTCACTTAGAAACAGCAGTCCCCGAGAGGACTTTTCCTTCTTCGGCCGACATTCTGCACTTATCCGCTCAAATGTGATACATACAAAAAAATAAGCAAAATTTGTGTTTTTTTTAATTTTTAAAGGCACAGACTGCTGGCGACTAGAGAACGGAATTAACTGGTAGGATCGACGACGATCTGGTTTTTATCGAAAGACGGGGGCACGGGTTTATCTGTTAAGGCGTGAAAGAACAGGAAAGAGATTACGGATTCAAAATATAACTTTACGAGGCGAGCCCTTCCTTCAAGAAAACATCGAGAAAATTCGCAAAAGCCCAGCGTGACTCTAATAAAAAAATTCAAGTCCTATTCGTATTTTATAAAAGAAACGCCTTTGAGAATTGAACGTAGAAAAATCCGGCTAACGTAAGAACACTGTAATTAAAAGGCGAACTTATTTTTATTTTGGAGCGGATTTCTACCTGGCTCGGGCCTGGCATCGAGACGATTCATCGACACGAATCGAACATAAAAAAAAGTCTTTTCCCGCAAATACCGCCGAAGTTCCGACATTCAGACGAAAACTTCGAAATTCCCTGCCAGATAATAAAAAAATATAAATTTAAACGATCGAAGAATGGCGTGGACGTCTTAAAAAAGCCACAGTCTTTGATCGATTGTCGATCGAGAACTTTGATCGACGGCGACCACTTGTTGATATCTGGTGAGACTGGTCTCATATTTTTTTCTGAGAGACAGTTTTATACCTGCCTCGAATTATCTCTGAAAATTGCTGAACACTTGGTCTTTTTTTATCTTTTTTTTTTTTTTTTTACTTTTGCCGCCGGTCAGACGATAAACAAGCCCCGGGTGTTCCTAACTTTTACATTGTCATAAATTACGATTCTTTTGCACAAGTATTAAAAAGAAAGATTAATTAATTTAGAGTTTAAAGAAGTCAAAGTTACTCTTCTGTGGGCCAGTAACTTGCCAATGACCCGAGTCACTGCTTTGTGACAGGGGTGCTTTTGGCAGCCCTGAAATTGGGCTTATTTCGATGAGCAGGATGTTGATGCAGCGAGATTCGGTAGCGTGAGAAGGGCTTCATTAGTGCGAGTTGAGAACTCGTCGACGAGTCTGAGCCACTGCTTATATACAAAGCTGCTGCAAGTTCATTTGGCTGCAGCGTGGAAGGCGAGACCACTTTTGAAACAGGTTACACCTAGTGGATAACTTGTCAATCGGTGGTCACCAGACTAGGAATAAGACACGATATTCGGCAAATACTGTTGTCTTTTGACTTGCGGTCTGCCCATTCCTTATGGTTTTTGGCTGTCGAGCGGTCTGCGCGAAAATTGTCTAAGTGGAGCATGTTCGCAGTTCTCATCGTTCAAATTGAAATCTTAGATTTACCCCTTTTTATTCCTTTTTTGTTACATGATGACGGTACTAGGAAGAGGACTTGGTATTCAGCAATCGTTGCAGTCTTTTGGCTTGAGGTCTGCCGATTTCTTATGGTTTTTGGCTGTCGAGTCGTCTTCGGCGGTGCTAAAATTGCCATGGTCGAGCATGTTCGCAGACCTCATCGTTCAAATTTTAAGAAGAGGAAGAAAAATAACTTTATTCTGGGACTGGTGTCCCCTGAGAATAATTTACTTGAAATAAATAAAGGAAGTTCCTTCTATGAAGTTACAAGTAAAAAAATATAGAAATCTTGCCACAATGTATACCAGTAAGGCAGGCCTGAAGAGAAAATTACGAGAATATTAAACAAAAATAACAAATGTTAACGTGAGGTCTCTGCTTGGACCCTAACCAATTTAAATGATATCGCATTAACACATAAAATTGCCAGATCCAAAATTCTCGGGTCAGTCGAAAATTTCCAAAACTTGGGGAAACATAACAACCCGACGATTGGGTGCCAGGACACAAAAAAGTTCTGGGTAATGAAAAAGCACACATGAAGGCCAGAAGAGGATCTGCAAGACCTCGATAAGCCTAGAACTTACAATTGGGATAACAAAAAGTGAACGTACTCCAGATGTGGCCACATAGTAAACCCATGATTAAAGGAACCTCATTAAAACTGGCACACGTTGCAACAGTTGTCAGTGTAAAGGAGAACAGGGGTTAAGGAGGTAAGAATGATAGGGTTCTATACCGGTCACTAGCATCTCGGAAAACACCCATTTGTAAGATATGTCCTGAGAAGAAAGAAGCTGACATCCATATTATCTTCGAATGCGAAGCAACCGCTTAATGGAGACATAACCAAGAATACCAAGAAGACCCAGGAAAAATGTAGCAATGACAGTCAATCGGGTTAGGTCGAGTCAAGGTCAATAGGATCAGACGTGTTAGGTTAAGTTAGCGTTATGTTTGGGAAATGGTTAGGTTAGGGTTATGGTTTCAGAGGAGTTAGGTGAGGTTGAGGTTAGGGTTATGGTTAGAGACGAATTATGTACGGTTAACGCTAAGGTTAGGGACGGGTTAGGTCAGGTTAAGGTTATGGTCAGGAAAGGGTTAAGTTAGGTCAGGCTAAGGTTATAGTTAGGGGCGCGTTAGAAATCTATAATGGGAATAACAAGAACGTAGACTCCTACATTTCAGAATGGGTCCACAAACAAACAAAAGGAAAAATGTCTGACCCAGTAAACACTTGATTAAAGAACCCTCACCAAAAGTGTGCTAAAGTTAAACCGGGTAAAACTCACGGTAGTGATAGGGATATAAACAGGTCACTAATATCTGAGAAAACACCCATTGTAGGTTATGCATTAGGAGGTAGAGACTGCCAATCATATCATATTCGAATAACTGCTCAGTTGAGTCCTAGTACTAAAAAGACCAGGCAAGAGAATTGCAGTGATAGTAAAATAACCTTCTACTTCTTAAAAGAAGGATCGACTTGAACTGACCTAAGGAACTAGGAAAAGCACAATAAGCCAGAAGGTTGTAGTGTTTTGTGGTGATGCTTTGGCAATAGCTTCTTCCTGGCATTCCCTTGTCATTATCATCATCCGCCTTACTTCAACATGGAGGATCATCATCCCTGATAATGAACTATTTCTCTTTACATTTCTTCTATTTCTTACTCTTTACCATGTTTTCTTTTCTCAGTTTGGCCCAGGGCCATGTAATTAAAATTCCGTGGGGTGAATCGATTAAAGCCATAATTGATGTTAATAACAGATGGATAAATAATAAATCTTAACTGCTTAGGATCAAATTTAAGATAACTCAATGAAATCTGTGTTTAAAATATAACAGAGAAATTATTTTAAAATAAAGAAGACCGATTTAACGTAGATGCAGTTCCTGGATTGTCAGTTGATATTTTTGTTTTTCTGGCATTTTTTCTCCTGCTTTGTGGGTTGTTTATTTTGCAACTGCCGACATTTACAGAATTTTGTTAAATTTTAAACTTTTATTATTTTAATTGGTACGTTTCCTTGGCCGACTTCAGTTCTTCTTGTATAACTGGATAAACCGGTTTTCGGTCTTTTTCTATACCCTTTTTACACTCTTCATCGATTCGGTAAAATTGGCACTCCCATGGGAAATTAAAATATTAGTATATTCCTGTGAGCTATCGCCTGACCTCGCGTTATGAATCCTAAACCCCTCCACGTTTTAATAGGAAAAACAGGGGTAATCTAATCTTAACCTTGGATATCTATTTGACTTATCTATAGCATCATTATAATCTGGAGGCAAAAATAAAAATCGTATGGTTCGAAGAAATAAGCATAACTATTTAATTAATGGTTAAATAGCAATGTTTTTGGTTAAGCTTTAGGGCTAAGTTAAATAATAATTTTAGGACTATGTCATGTTTTGTCGTTTAAGTGACAAAATTATAATCGAGACCCGGCACTTTGTCGGATTTGTCGATGGGTCACTTACCGTTCGACGGCCATGATGTAGCTGATGCTGAGTCGGTTGGAGATTGTGAACCTGGTGAATCTGGCTAGGATGTGTACATGACTATGTCTATAGCAGACAGGCGAGCTCATCGTCAAAACCAGGCAGGAGATAACTATCCAGCCGGAACCGCGGCACTGGTGGCAGCCAGACACCCCTATCACCATAATAATTCATACTCGAGGCGGAATCCACAGTAGGGATTTCCATATCGCTTGCAAGAACGTATACGTCAATTTAATCTAAATTTCCCATAAAAATCAGGAACAATAGGAAACCAAATGAAGAACAACCGAGACCCGTCAAACGAAGCCAGCGAGACAGTCCAAAACACCGGACACGAACCAAGCTACAGATTTTTCACCCTGCAGACCTCAAAAGGACATATTTGAATCAATTGTTGCTAAAATTTTATGGCAAATGTTTGTGACCCTTCAGACACCGTTGAACCGGACGGTTCAACCAACCCGGTCCAAAGCTATGTAGAAAGCTCTGAGAGAATAGATCTGTTGCCTACTGCCATTCCATGGCGGATCTTTTTTTAACTCTCTCCCCGGGCGTAACGGGTAATGTCGAAACACCATCTCAAAGAAGTACATCGTCCATGAACGATGTCAAGGTCCATTCAATGAAATCCGCTGTTGACTTTCACGGTTATATTGCATTTTTGTAAAAGAAAGGAGGGGAAACAAGATCGAGGCCCGTTGTTTTGAAATTAGTCCGCGGATTTTATGAACCGGTGATATTAGCATAATCTGTGTTACAATTGATCAGTTTGTTTATAGCACGCGTTTGTTGTCGTCTTCAATACCTTTTTAGCCGGGATTCGTTGAGATTTTAGCGCAGGATATCATCATAGGTACGTACATTACTTGCATTATTTACAAATTTTTAACATTTTAATAATAACTACTTTTCCCTCCGATTCCGGTTATATACATTTGTTCTCAATTTTTTTTCTCATGAAAAAATGTGATGACTAGAATGTTAGAATATCGTGAGATCTAGACGGCATGTCGATCAAGACGGTACTGGGAAAAAGAAAAAGCTTTGTATTTTGGGATTAAGTGATACAGGCATAAAATTATATATTATCTCTATTTTTTATCTCAACCAAAACCTTATTAAAGATTAATTATGTATTCTATCATACACTTTTATGCATACGTTTAAACATGTATACACATTTGCAATAATGGGACAAATTTTCATTTCAGCCTTGAAGGTTAGAATATATTGTTATATACATACATGTATGAGATTAAGATGGCACTTGTAAAACACCTACTGAGAATGTTATAATTTGAAACAATGATGTACGCAATGTAGAAATTTTAGGTTTATTCAAAGTATTTGTACTAAATGTGTGTTTCTATGTAGATGTGTCACGGTTGTGTGTCGTGTTGCGATATAAACATATCTTACTAACCATCGCAACAC